GTCCCAGGTGGCTGTTAAGCCAAAGTGCAGCTTCAACAGACTCAAGAAATGTTCTCAGAGCAAATAAAGTTTTAGTGGCCCACTTTCACAGTTCCCACTTTCCCTTAGATTTTGACTTGGTTTTTTTCTTAGTATGTTGCCAACTTTTTGAGATTTTTAAGAGAGAGAGGAGTGTTAACACACACACACACACACACACACACACACAAACACACACACAGAGTAGCATTTTAAATTTTCAGTAAGAGGGTTGATTCAAGTAACCTAATCTGCCATTTCTCCCAAAATAAAAGTTTATCACTTAAAAAATTATATAAACGTTGTCATACTGTATTATTACGCAAGTCAACCACAATAACAAGATTAAGAAAGTTACGTGACCATCTTAATATACCCTGAAAAAGATAGGCACAGACATTGATTAGTAAAATTTCAGCAAGGACGGTGGACATAAGAGCACTACACAAGAAATTGGCCTGGCACCGTGCCTCACACCAGCAGTTCCAGCACTTTGGGAGGCTGAGGTGGATGGATCACTTCGGCTCAGGGGTTTGAGACTAGCCTGGCCAATATTGTGAAACTCTGTCTCTACTAAAAATACAAAAATTAGCCAGGCATGGTGGTGGATGCCTGTAAGTCCCAGCTATACAGGAGGCTGAGGCCGGAGGATCACTTGAACTCAGGAGGCAGAGGTTGCAGTGAGGTGACATAGCACCACTGCAGTCCGGTCTGGGCAACAGAGTGAGACTATGTCTCAAAAAAACTGTTCTTTTAATAGCAAGCCAATATGTATATGAATTATATTAGAAAATGCTTTTGAAGACATTCTAGAAACTGTAAATAATGCTCACGAGTGGAAAAACTTAAAATCATAAGGTCATCATTTCTCCCATTAATTTATAAATTAAAAATAATTCTAATCAAAATCCTAAAGGTGTTTTCAGGAAACTTGACCATATGGTTTTAATATTTATGTAGAATAAAAGGACTTTAATGTTCCAAAACAATTTTGAAGACAAAAAGCCAGGGGGATGGAGGGAGGGAGGGTAGTGGGTACCCCATAAGATATAACTAACATTTATAAACCATGTTAATTGAGCCAGTTTAATAGTACTGTATAGAGTGGCCAATAAACCCATGGAATATTAAACACATATTAAATTATAATATATTTATATATACATGTGTATATATGTGTATACATACATGTGTATATGCATATATGTGTATATATACATATATACATATGTGCACATATATACATAAATACATACAGGTGGTTTAACATTAGAATATGTTAAACTGATATGTAAAACAAATAATATTTTAACTTTTCTGGCTGAATCAGAATTAGAAATCTGAACCTGTGGAGCCTACTCCCTGCATATCCCCTCTTCTTAATCCAGGTACTTCACTCCCTATCCATCCTGGTAGACTGTGAGACATACTTCAGTGTCCTGAAGCTCTATGGAGAATTGAACTTGAAAATCATCAGCTCATTGTAAGATTTTCCCTTTTGATCAGAGATTGACAAGCTTTTCCAGAAAGGGCCAGATAGTAAGTGTTTTAGGTTTTAACTGCCATGCTGCCTCTAGCTCACTGCACAAGTGCTGATGTGAGATGAAAACAGCTTTAGACAATACGTTTGCGCCAATAAAACTTTATTTTAAAAAACAGGCTGTGAGCCAAACTTGGCTCATGTATCTGTTTGCCAACCCCTGGAAGGAGGTTGTAAGTGAAGGAAGTAAAAAGCATATAGTTTTATTACCAAAAATAACTTTAATAATCTTCTTATGGGCCGAAAAACCAAGGCCCTAAGTAATTCACTTCAATTTACATAGTAATTTGTGGCACACGTAATTTAGCAAAAGGTTACACTGAGGACATTTAGAATTATAGTTAAGATCGTATTTTGTTCCTGTTCTAATCTGCTTTTATTGTAAAAACGCTCCACTCTCACCTCTTTCCAGGAATCTTGAAGAATCATGTTCTTCGCAGGAATTATAAATCCCCCAATTCCATGTCTAACATAATTTCTACTGCCCTCTTTGCTTCTCATGCTTTAGTACCAGTGCTTCTGAATTTGAAAGTCTTCACACAAATCACCCAAGTAAATCATTGCACCAATTTTAGATGGTCTGGGCTCTTAAAATGTTTCCTTCCATTACTCTTTTAAAATGTATCTTTGCTATGTCAGGTTTGAGGTAGTTTCTCTCAGAAGATTGGGCATTTGGGGGAATTCAAGTCTTCACTGCAAGTTTTACTGCCTGTGACTCAGGGTCTAAAGATTTATTCTGTTATTTTCTGCCTGTTATTTTCTACAGTGGTAAATCACTTTGCAGAGGCTAGGGCAGGTCTTGTCTTTCTTCTGTGTGTGACAGTTGTATTAGTTGGAATAGGTGAAATCCTGTTGAAATAGACAAAGCCAAAATCTTAGGTGCTCAAAACAGCAATATATCCCACTGTAAAGCCTTTGGGAGTCGGTGAGGGCTCCACTCCTTATCACTGCCCTTACTCTGCTTCTGAAGCTGACAGGACAGCCACTGTTGAGGAAATGCTGATTACAACATCACACAGAAAGGAGAATGTAATGAAGCAAGAACTGGTTCTTAAAGCTTCTGCTTACAGTGACAAGGCTCACTTTCCAATGGCCAAAGCAAGTCAAAAAGCCAAACCCGACTTGCATGGCACAGAAAAGTCTCCCAGGGAGGGAAATCAGACATTGATGAACTGTGGCCAAAATCCGGCTGAGCCAGAAGCTAAGGTCACCAGTATCATTTACCCCCAGAGGACATAGAGTCCTCAGGCAAATTAACTCCTAGTATCCTGCCCTGATGTACCAGATACCAGAGGTGGGTATACATACATATATTTTTGGCTTTGTAAATCAAGACGTGAGTCTATTCCTTAACAAAATGTAGCTAATTGTTAATATGCCATTTTAATATGTTAATTTAAAGGACACTTCGATGGGTAGAATATAAATACCACTTAATATTTCTGAGAGCATTTATAGGCTTTGGATGTCCATGATTCTTTACGGACTTTTTTTTTTTTACTGTTTTCTTCTTTTACCCTACCATTCCTGAAATGTTTCTCCATGAATGTTCTTCTGCTTCTCTCTCATAGAGATATATATTTCCATCAAAATATACTAAGGTGCTGGTTACAAATTCAGATTCCTGGGTTATTTCTCAAAATAACTTTGGATTATCCTGGAAACCTATGTTTTTATATTATTTCCCAGATACATCTTATGACGTTAATGTTTGAAAAACCCTGGCTTAGATCCTACGCCTTGAGCTTGTCCATGAATTTTTATAGAATCTGTGGCCACACTTAGTGATGCCTCATTCTCCTTTTTTTTTCTTTCTAAACTTTGTTTTGCACAAGTTTGAGGCTTAACCTGTTTGGCTTTGCTAACGAGCCTGTAGATAGATAGATAGATAGATTTGTCTTTTGCTCACAGATTCACCTTGGATAAAAGACAGCTGCCAGAGATAAATATTACTGTTTTATCAATTTATAGGATTTTTTGAGTTAGAAAGGAGAGATTTGGAGACACAGAGGAAAACTCTCAATAAGACTCAATAAAAAAAACATTAGTGTGAAATTAACTGGGCATGGTGATGTGCACCTGTAGTCCTAGATACTTGGGAGGCCAAAGCGGGAAGATTGCTTGAGCCCAGAGAGTCAAGGCTGCTGTTAGCTGAGATTGTGCCATTGCACTCCAGCCTGGGTGACAGAGTGAGGCCCTGTCTCAAATACCACCCCACACACGAAAGAAACAATGTGGTGGCCTGTATTATAAGCATGACACACAAGGCTATAACTAAGAATCTAAAGGTAGGTCTGCGGTATAACACTGTAATATTTGCACTTGGGTATCATTTAGTTGATTACACAATCAATCCATTTATCTCAACTTCATAGTTGATTCCTATGGTCATACTTGAAAAATTGCATGCTGATTTATTCCTATTGAAATTAGCATGCACGAGATGTGAGTGATGTAGATGCAACATCATCAACATCACTGATGCCCCACCTACCATCCTTCTAATGGTTATGAGTGTTGATCTGCATGCTCCTCCCAAAACTGTCATTAGTGCCCAAACAAAAACAAAAACAAAATCCTTTCAGGATTAAGGGAAAACATTCTCAGATTAAGGGTATGAAAAAAATCATAGGACGGATGTTAAACGCGTATAATACAGTTCTATTTACAGAAGAAATGAAATTACTGGATATGCAGTCATGACACAGTATTTTTTTTTCAAGTGGTTTAATTGGCTTTGTTTGAAAAAGTTATCTGGACTGAATTTCTACTTTTCATCAAACAAGAGTTTTCAACTCACTGTCACTGGCAATGTGAGCTCAAAAAGACAAAAACAATACAATGGAGAGAATCTTTATATTTCAGCCAGTTTTAATTATGCATCATTTACTGCCGAGAAGAACAAAGGGATGTAGAAAGAATATGTTTAATCAGGCTTTGGAGAGTTGAATTTGTTGTAATCATATTGCCCCTAAAATCTTTCTTCTTTGTGCATATGATGGAGCAAAATAATCAGGTGAAAAATCCTTAGACAAATACTCATAAAGTTGCTCTTTATGTGAAATCACTTCCTTCTAGCATGTAGTAATATACAAGAATTGTCCCTTTGATTGTTTTGCCCAATACAGAGTTGGACTAGGGATAGCCCCGAAAAGGCCTGTGTGGTGGTGCACAGCAATCTGCTAATTTCTGAGTTTGTGTTAATATTTATATTCACTTTGTATTTCACACTGGATGGCCCAACATTATTCTTATGAATTCTTTACAACCGTTTTGTTGGATTAGTTTCATATTAGATTATAATATATTATTTCAGGAAGAATTATTGGATTATAAGCGTTTTATACTTTGTTATAGTGACATTCTACAACCTGGTATTTCATCTCTTGTGATATACCAATTCTATTCTTGGAATCTTGTCTGGAATTAAACATCAACTAAGTTCAAAAGTAATTATTTTTTTATTTCAACTCTATAAAGTATACAACAGGCACTCAGCAATTACAGCTGCAGGAAAAATACAGAGCAAATAAAAGCAGGATAAGTTTATGAAAAAGTTTTTAATCTACATCAAAAGAGTGCAAGTGGTCAATGACCATTTGATGACAGTTTGTTGCATTCTGACTAACAAAGAACTCTTTCATGTAGAACAAATTGTAAGAGGACAATCAAATAACCATAGCCGTAGAATACAAAAGAACTGACCAGTTGTAAAAACATCATACATTGAAATAAACTTGATAGATGATGCTTAAAGAAATGTCCCTTTACTCAGAAAGCCCCAACCTCTGAGTCATTGCCAAGGTCCCAGAGCTCTGTCTGTTGATGCAGGGGCAGAGAGGAGGGCTAACAACACACTTTCAATGTTTTGCTTTCTAGGTCTGTTGAAAACTTGCCTCGTAAATAATTTGCATATACAACAACTCAGAGAAAGCATCCTGTTTTGTTGAGAGGTGCACCAAGTGTCTTTTTCATCAATGGTTTCATAACGAGGTGTGGTTAGCAGTCATTTCCAATTTTTCTTTTGGGTTGGACCACTGTCAATGGAGTCTATAAAATGAGATATGTTAGAACTTGACTGCACTAATTGATTTTTACAGAATCTGCACAACTTAGCAAAACAGGAATACCTGTATACAGACTGAGAGTATGTCATATATTAATTTGACCTGCACATACATTTATACATTTCACAGAAATGACGCTGTATCTCATTAACAGATACACAGCTCTGGTACATTTAACAGAAATAAGAGAACAACTTCATCATTTCTGTAATTCATCAATATTATATAATAAAGGCTTATAAATTGTTAGCAGAAAGAACTGTAAAACGCAGCAAGCTAAGAAAGGACAACATTTTGAGGTGTGTTTGTCTTTGTCATGCAGCATAACACCAAATTTTTTTTTTAATAGGATGCCATGAATTTAAGGCACTTGCAACAATGCCAGATAGCCAGGTCATGTTCTAAACTATGGACAGATGAATAACAGTACAGTTGACATAATTTTCAATAATACTGACAATTATGACATTAATTCAAGTCTACTTGGACCTAAAAACATTATTCAGTACAAATAAAATGAAATAATAATGCTGTGAAACACTAAAAAAAGTTATATGTACCACAAAATATCACACAAAAATATCTATTTACATAAATATTTGTCTGTGGTCCTATTGTGAAAGAAAATGTTATGGATAATGCACAGATCACTTCTGTTGTGTGAAATCAGTTCTAATATCCTTGTTTTCAATATGGTAGCTGACTTCATTAAATTTGTTTACCATCAGTTCAGTCATTTAAAAATCAAATGGGAAAAATTCAATAGTTAAGTTAATATATTATTACACATGTGTAATTCACTGCATATTCCACAATTTTAGGTAAAAATTATGACTTGTAAAGAATATAATCAAAATAAATTTGTTTTGAATGCCATATGGATCTGATTCATATCTCAGTAAGAAAGAAGATACAAACATAAAAATCATGTATAGTATTATTTCAGAAATTATTTTTTCAAATGTATTCAATCTATCTCAGTTATTTTCATGTTGCTTCCCTTGACAATTTCAGTTTTCCTGTGAATCAAAGACACACAGAAAGCCCTTATTTCCCACACTCAACACATTAACAAGAAAATCATTTAACAAATCAAACAAGTTGGCACTATTCTAACTTATCCAGATGTTCTTTAGTGTAAGAAAATAGAGGGATTATGAAAAATTCAGAAATAAAGGGAGATGCACTTTATGGAACTGACCATGAATTTTAGCCCTAGAGTCTTCATTAAGACAAGATTTATATACTAAAAATTCAATGTTGAAAATTAGATGAATGTTTGCTGTTGGTACATCTTGGAAAATGTAGTCTACCTTTATTTTATGGTGATTGCTTCAGACACCTAATGCAATGCTATGGGTGAAATGAACAAGGATGCAATAACAAGTGGGAGTTATGTCGTGCTGAATGCTACTTCTTCCTTCTCCATTGAACTTATTCATATTGGTTGTCTTAGACTTGAACCATAGTTCCAAAATCCACAATAAGTGCTAATCTTTGGGACTTTGGGGATTTTTTAAAAGTTGCAGAAGCAGAGTCTCTCCAAATAACAAGGTAAATTCAATATCCTAGCAAGTCTTTAGCATGCCTAAACCACATTATCTTTCAACAAAAATTACTCAACATTGACTATAATGTTGGAATTAAATATGTCTAAAAGGCCAATTAAAAAATATAAAACTGAAATAACATTCATAGCTGGATTTTAGTTTATATTTAGTTTTATATTCTAAAATATGTAGAAAACTGGATATCTTGGGAAATAGACCAATTTGGAGAAATTATATGGGAGAGAAAACTCCAGAAACACAAGAATAACAATAACATTTTAGGATTAAAGTTTTCATTGAAGTTTATTCCCGTTTCATTTTATCCTCCAAATTTTTAAGAATATTATATTTTCATAAGATATCATATTCTAAGGTAGTTTTGGGTTTGAAAAATTCAAACAAAATTCATAATATATGCCCTCTTAGTTAAGATATAATGATCTAATTGGACTTAATTCTTGCAGAAATGTTGACATTTGATTGATTAAAAAGAAAACTCTACTAAGAAAAGAGCAAGCCTCAATTTAATATACCAAACTCACACACTGTGCCAAAACAGAATGCCAGCTTGAAAGGTTTTATATTTTTTTCATAGGTATAACACAATTTTATCCAGAAAAACCTTCCAAATGGCTGAGTTACTTATTACAGCTAATAATAATCAACTGGCCTGCCAGCAAAGGACTCAGTTTAATTTGCAGATTCTTTTCTCCACGTGAATAAAGTAAATTAGTTTGACATTTTCAAATGTAGTTCTAGGTAGTGTGAAATCACAGAACTGTATTAATTCTGTTCTACTTAAAATTTATTTTATTTTTTTAAATTAGATTCCTGTTTTCTTCTGTACTGCTTTCTTACTTGAAGAAGTGGATGGACTCAGCCTATTCACAAAAAGGTAATCACCACCTGGCTAGGTTTTTGTTTTGTTCTCTGACCTCAAATAAGTAATGTTCCTGGCTTGGTAAACCTGTAAATCTTAATAACTTTGACTTTGGGCTTTCTTTTTTTTTGTCTTTCCTACTTTTTATTTTTGTTTTTCATTCTTGTTTTTTGTTTTTTGTTTGTTTTTGGTTCAGGCCTAAGACAAGGCAGTTCAAACAGGTTTGTAATCACCTGGTCTCTCAACTCTAGACTGACGATGTTGTATAAGTGAAATTGGACAGGAGTTTGGTTTAATAACTTCAGTGAAAATGCTTGAGTTTCTGGCTACACATGTAATGATTTGAATTTGTGTTTTCTGTTCAGACACTGACATTTACAGATGAAAGATATACATAGCACCTATATAGTTTTTATTTATTTTTTGGATGGGTTTTAATCCCTCCCCACTCCACCCCACCCCAAGGGTTTATTTTTATAAAAGGGAATACTTTAAGCCTCAGTTTGAGGGTATGTTAGGTAAAACCAATTGGCTGCTAGTCATTTACTTCCAGGACCATCTTTAAGCACAGTAGTTTTAAAAATATGAAATGGTTTTGTGAATTGCTTTTTTTTCCCCACTCTGTCATGCCAATTTATCAAAAAAAATATATCATGCATTATTTTTCAGTCCTCTGTGAAAACGCATATATACCTACTATGAGAGGTCTCAACAGAATCTATAGCAGTTGTGCTTTTATCATATCAATTTTTAAATTCTGTCAGAAAGAAAAGTTAACATTCAGTCTTGTCATCAGCACTGCTGGGAAATAAAATCATGAAACTTCTAGCACTGGTGTGACATGAGCTCTGTGACCAACAGATGTGTGGTCCTCTTTTGTATGGTATATACACCGGCCTGCAGTAATAGATCCCACAGCCTTCACTTGAAGAAAGGAAATAGCCTAGTTTCTGTACCATAGTAATCTATCATACCCAATATATTATTCTTTCATCTTCTTGAATATTCTAGCAAGGTACAGACTCTTATAATAGATTAAAGTGTTTCCTACAGTCTTTCAAATTATAATCAGAGCAAAGCAAGGTCATTGCAACAATAGAAAACATCTCTTTACTGGTGAAAGGCTTTGCTTCAGGACCACCATGTCAACTGCTATTTTAGGTTCAAAGAGAAAACATGTAAAGAGCACTATTGTCATCTAAGCAATAAGTCCTAATGCCACTGTAGTTACTGGAGCAGCATCGATCAAAGGCATCATGGTGACCCCGAGCACTAATCTTCTCTCTTTCCTTCAGGTTTGCTGGCAGCTGTGTCTGAGAAAAAGCTGTCTTCAGCAAGGCAAAAGCAGGTAAGAGAAATACATTAGAAGTCTATGTCCCATCCTGAGTTGTCATCAGGTGGTGGTTCATCGTTGTCCTCAGGGAAACTGTCAAAATTGCTTGTGTCTGTGGGTGATGCAACCTGTAAATAGGAGAGAATGCACTTCGTGTGTGTGTGTATGTAATTCCAAGCTGGAATTTTTAAGCACATTCTGTATTTATTCCCTATTAGTGACTACTTTTTTGAGTGTCTACTATGTAGCAGGTATTGAGGGTCTCAGTGCTGAGTACAAATAGACATGGTTTTTATCCTCACAGAGTTTATACCCATCGTAAGTAAACTGTATGATTAAAACAAATAATCACAAAGTCTATATGTAATTCAAAAATCTATATATAATGAAATATCATCACAAAAATCTTCCTATATAATGAACTTTGGCTAGAGCTATAAAAAGAAAAAGAGATGCCATGAAAGTGTTCAAATGATCATGTAGGACAAACGCAGTAGTTCATGCCCATAATCTCAACACTTGGGAGGCCAAGGCAGGAAGATCACCTGAGGTCAGGAGTTTGAGATGAGCCTGGCCAACACATTGAAATCCTGTCTGTAATGCTTTTTTTTGTCTTATGAACAAACAAATATTAGAATAGAAATAAATCTTAAAAGAAGGGAAAATAGAGCCAAGTTCATGGTGTGCACCTGTGGTCCCAGCTACTCAGGAGGCTGAGTCAAGAGAATTGCTTGAACCCAGGAGTTTGAGGCTATTCCGGATCCTGGGCAACATAGAAAGACCCAGTCTCAAAAAAAAAAAAAAAAAAATGGAACAGAGAAAATGTTTCTATACAAATAGCAGTCTTGCATTAGTCCTAGAGAAAGGAAACACAAATCAAAGTCCCAGGACCACAAAGTAGTCCTCTCCCCCCGTAATTGAGATGCTGCACATTTTATTAGCTAGATGCAATACTGAGTAAAAATATAAATGCAATCTGCTGAAATCTATTTTAAATTAATATAGTATAAACAGTGAATTTAGTAGACTATTTAACCAAAAACTTGATTTTTTAAAAAAAGAGAGTCAAGAAAAAAGAACGATTGTTTTATTTTAGAACCGGAAGGAAGGATGAAAACACACCGTTGTGCCTGAGAGTGCCTCTGTGTAACACGGGGAGGGCAGGAGTTATGTGGGAACATACAGGAAACAACATTGGTCCAAAACTGATAGCTGCTGAAACTGGTTGCTATAAACTCACTATAAACTTTTATCTCTGTTCCTATATTTTGAACATGTTCCATTCTAAAAATTAACTTATGTTCATAAATGAAGGAAATCTGAATTAAAATGAAGAGTTAAAAAAAGATAAGAGTGGCCGGGCGCGGTGGCTCAAGCCTGTAATCCCAGCACTTTGGGAGGCCGAGGCGGGTGGATCACGAGGTCAACAGATCGAGACCATCCTGGTTAACATGGTGAAACCCCGTCTCTACTAAAAATACTAAAAATTAGCTGGGTATGGTGGCGTGTGCCTGTAATCTCAGCTACTCAGGAGGCTGAGGCAGGAGAATTGCCTGAACCCAGGAGGCGGAGGTTGCGGTGAGCCGAGATCGCGCCATTGCACTCCAGCCTGGGCAACAAGAGCGAAACTCCGTCTCAAAAAAAAAAAAAAAAAAAAAAAGATAAGAGTAAAACATATTTACAGTGACTACCCCCAAATTTATCTGCTTTTAAGCTTGGATTTTAGAATATGTCATTATTTCAATGTGACATTTTTCCTACAGTTTGTTTTAACCTTATAACAGGATTAAACTTTAAAGATAACAGATCATTGTTGACTGATATAAACACCATCAAGCGTCTCATACATTTATAAGCTGGAAACTCTACTTACACTTGGTATTATAGGAGGTGTCAAGGTACCTTTTCTTAAGCCTTCCCAATTAAAGCCCTCAAACCATCTAGAAAACGAAAAAACGTTGATAGTTAAAGACATTATATGTCAGCTAAAACCTTCTCATTGCAATGTATACAATGTCCATGGCTAATGGAAAGCAGTTAGGTAAATGTTTTCATGTGACAAAATGTTTTCTATTTAATTGCATATCTTTTCCAATTAGCTTATTTTATGAAATGCATACTTTTAAAGTGTCCATTTTAAATACCAGTTAAACATGAAACTATTTTTCCTTGTAATGCAGTCATAATGTCTCTAATGACCTTGTTCCTATAATTATAATTTAATAAATGTTATAATATGTCTGGCCCTGTGCTTTACAGGATATTTTATTTTAAGGAGGTAGAATAAGGGCATGAAAAGACAGGATAGGAAATTAACTTTCCATTTTTGCCACTGACTCAGTGCAGAGCCTCAGCTAGTTAACCTTTTCATTTCACATCATTGTAGTTGTCTCTACATGTTCCATTTTCCTCCTTTCTTCCCTTTTTTTAATGAAAAATACAGGTATTTTGTGTACAGTTTTTCTGTGAAATATGGACCAAAAAACACTAAGGTTTTTGTTTGTTTGTTTTCTTTTGTCTTTGAAAGGTTTCACCATTAGCAAATGCTTACAAGAAATTCTTAGCAGGCCTTTCAGATATTCATAGACATTTTAGTAAACATGTTTCTTTGATAAGGATGTGAATTTTTTGTCAGTGTTACACACATAGAGAAAAACCAATTAGTTTAACTTTAGAGCATCCAGTCAACATAGGAAAGGTCTGATACTTAAGATGTTGCTATTGCTTAAAAAACACTGTATTCTGCTGTTATGACATCTAATTGGGAAATGCTTGGAAAAATATATTTTGTGTTTAGGACATCAGGTATGATACAGTAGGGGACTTTTGTTTGTAATATTGTGGTAGAGAATAGAATCTCCAAATTTAAAATACACATTTCTTTGTGCCAGAGAGGAAAAACCAATGCTAGTTGGTATAAGTTGCAAGAAACTGAGTTCAATGAATTCAGTTTCTTATGTCACAGGATTGTCAGATAAATATAAATAAAGTTTCAGAAACAGCACGAAAGGCATTTAAAAGCCTAACTAGTTTGTATGCTGTCTTTGGATGTTCCTACACGCGAATTGTACTAGTTTTTACACCAATAGCTTAAAAAGCAACACCCTGGTGAAATGATGTCAGGTGTTCGAAACTCTGAAACCTAAAGCTATAAGGAAAGAACACTTACTTGTGCTTTTGAATGTCTTTTACTCCATTTTTCAAATTCCCTAATCTTTCTGATGGATTGTCCCTAAAAATAAAATAATAGTTTTATTACATCTAATCTTTTCACATTATGATTTTTTTTCAAAGATAATGTAGTTGAGATACTTACCTGCACAGTTTTTTAATTAAATTAGCAGCATTTTTTGCAATCTTCTTTGGAAATTCTATCATGTCAATTCCCCTCAATATGATGTTATATGTTTTCATAGGATCTGGGCCTGAGAAAGGTGGGCTGCAAGAATGAGAGACATGACAAGAGATATTACTTTTATTTCCTACATGAGAACACTTGAATTGCTATAAACTCCACAGACGACATCAATTCTTATTTAGGGGCTTACATTAACAATGACAATGGAATGAAAGTAGATTAAGACCAAAACAGTGTGGAAGCCCTTCAAGGTAAATCACATAGCGAAACCAGAAATAGATCAAGTTCATCTGCTGTTCCCCTGATTTCTTTTTACTGCTGGAGTCTAACCCCTCATACTGTCCTTGGTCATTCAAGGTGCTTCTTTCACTCTCTGACCTTTTCCATACTTACTGACTCACTCATCATACTTGAGATGAAGTACTAAATCATTAGGAGGGGCCACAGGAACACCAACGATATTACCCCACACCCCCTCACCTCATGCCATTACTACCCTGTCACTTGGATCCAGAAACAATAGTATCTCTCTGTTCCACTGAAATGCTGAGCACTTTCCTACCTCATGGTGTTATTTATTTGGCCTGGAGGGTTCTCCCCACCTATCTGGCCAATGCCTCATTTTATCAAATCTCAGAGTAAGTTTTATGTTGTTTTCTCCAAAAGGCCTACTCTGGTTAACCCAATAAACCAATTAAATAACCTATATCAACCCACAAAATCTAACAATCTAATCTTATGCTCAATATATAAAACAATATTATTTAGAAGAAAGTCATTCAATGCCAAAAAATATTCATAGTAATCAACATTTGATGAACATACTTTTATAGATTTCTCTATGTGAATTGTAGACAGAATATATTATGCATATTTTTAATTAAAAATATTCAATTTAATTTTACTTTAAACTGAGGAGTAAAATGGAAATGCTAAATTTCAAATACATGCTCCTTAACCAATAATTCCTAAAATATTTCTCTAAAATTAAAAAAAAAACAAACTGAATTTAGAAAGTTCTCTTCGTAATGACACATATTAACTGTAAAATATATGTAATATTACTAATTATTAATGATGAGAAATAACTACATCTGTAGTTATACCTACTTTCACTTCCCACCTTAAATTTGGTGGTTTTAGTGTTAAGATTGCCAAGACTACAACATTTACATTCTGTTCAATTACCCAATTTTAAACTATTTGATCTAAGTACCAATTAATTAGACTCAAAGCTCATCATCAATCTTTTTACTCATTTCTCTATTCCTGAATGCTTTATTTTGATTCTTCTTTTTGTTGACTTGATTAAACAACAGTGTTTTTGAGAAAGGCCTGGGTTCCACACTTTACATATTGTGTTTGTATTTGAAGAATAACTTACCTCAGTATAAATTACTTGAGTTATACTTTTTGTGACCCTTAGAACTATATAGTTCTTGAAACGCTATCTTTTGGTATTATTGATGCTGTAGAGAAGATTGAGGCCAACTGGAACTTTAACTATCTTCACTCTCAATAGCACACATGCCATGTTTTTATGGTACTGATGCCAGTAAGACTATTCCTTATTAAAGAATTTAGAAGATCCCACATGGACACCCTGTGGTATTATTATTCTCAATCAGTCACATTTCACTTATATATAATATTTGCTAACAGGTTCTCTTATTCTATAGAAAATTTATCCTATATATTTTGATATGATTATTGTCTCCCCTTGTTTCATTGCTGGCTAAATGACTGGTATAAAATACCTCACAGAAAGACACTACAACCTTCCACATTCACATATGTAAAAAAGAAGTAGCAATAATCAGACCAAAAGTTGCTGTTGAGTGTCCTAGCCTGACCTATTTTACACCTTGCTTTATGAATTCCTGGTCATCTGTATAACTAATTGAATTGTGGTTACCAAGATATGGTGAAATGTACTTTAAGATGCTCTAATCAGAGCGACAAAAGCAGGAGTGTGTAGCTGTTTGCTGGTCTATTTTTATCAGCAGTTCCCTATCAATATCCATACCTGCCAGTCAGAAGTTCATACATTAGGATTCCCAGTGACCAGTAGTCGGCTGAAATGTCATGGCCTTTGTTCAGGATGATCTCTGGGGCTACATACTCTGGAGTCCCACAAAAAGTCCATGTTTTCTTTCCAAATCCTATTTTCTTTGCAAAGCCAAAATCAACCTTACAAAGAGAGAAAACCAAGATACTCTTTATGATTAGTTTTAAAGCAGTAAGTTATTTTGCTGAAGTACACCGATGATGAAAATAACGTAAAAACATGCACATTTTTATAGTGCTATCTTCTAAAAGGAATAATCTATATTGCCAACAAAGTCTCCCTGATCAAACTCAGTTTTAATGGGAAAAGTTGACACTTGAATATAACATAAACTTAACATCATTAAAAATAAAGGTAAATCTTTCTTTTTGAATATAAGTTTTCATTTTTCCTTCTTTTATGCCAACAGAGGTTGGGTTACAAACACAGAATCTCTTCTGTAAATAAACATTTTAAAAGACCAGTTGGGCCTACTTAACATATTTTCCAGTGTTGCAGGAAGTAAGTAACGTAGTTATGGGACCAATGATTCTGCCCTTGGTAAGTATAAACAGAAATAAAATTATAATGTATTCTTCATTTTTCTGAAAATATTTTGAAGGAAGTCTTGACTGCAGAAAATCTATTTTTTTCTGAAACGATTTGGTTGAAACTACAAATAAAAAACTGCCACTGATTTGATTTCTCTAAAAACCACATACTGATTAACAATTTTAAAAAGTTTAAAAATGGAATCAAGCTCTAACAGGTCCAAAGAAAGTTGTGCATTTGTAAATAAGAGAACTTTTCTTCTATGGTAAATCTTTACAGCTTTTGACTGTTATCATTAATATTACTATTATATAGCCTGGCTAGAATTGCCCGTAAAGCACATTTTCCCCCCACTGGCATTATTCTTAAATCTAAAATATTGAAATGATTTATGGTTTTCCCTAATATAAAAACCATTACTTATGAATAGCAAAAAACTGACTAGAGAAAAGGAGTTCTAGGCCTGTAAACGTGTGCCAGCAAGTGTGTTTTCTAATGCTTATTAAAACCATGTTTGCCAGAGTATTGTTAATTCAAACTTAGCCAACTTAATTTTTCATAACTGATACATCATTTGAAAGAACATTCAGTTGAAAACTGCAATGCCAAAAGCTGCTTTTAAGAAAGTTACAATATTGAAAAGGAAAACTGAGATTTTATATTAGCAAATGAACACAGTTTTATAAACAAATATTTTGAAACTGTAGGGCAGAAACCATGTGTGAATTGCACTGACCAGTTTGGCATAACCTCGGTGATCTAGGATGAGATTTTCTGGCTTGAGGTCCCTGTAAATGATTCCTTTGGAATGCAGATAGGCAAAAGCTTCTACCACACATGCTGTGTAAAATCTGGTTGTAGAGTCTTCAAACGAACCTCTGAGATGCAGAAATGGAATGAAAATTGTATGAAAAATTAGTTTCCCTAATATGGCTTTATTTTCTTCTCATTTCACTATATTCCTTTGCCAAAATTTAAACCAGAGACCACTGTCCTACTGGCTAATTGTTACATGATTGCCATTACATTGGGTTTTCTGAAGCATTTGAGGATCAAGTTAAGGAATTCCCTCTTTATGAATGGAATAGTTAAATCTAACTTCCTGAAAGGGCTGAAGAACAATTCAACACAGCACATTTCATGTACTTAGTGTCTTCCTCTCAACAGCCCACTACAGTCTAAAAAGTCATAGACTTAACAGCAGTAGGCAGGAGAGAAAAATAATCCTATTTTAGAGCTTTCCTACCAAGCATTTGTTTTTTAAAGGAGAAGTTTATGGGTTTCTTCACATTTATTCTTAGAGGGCTTGTTTTTTAATCTTTCTAAATAATGCAGATGTGATTCATAAGAGTGTGAATAAAAGCTACCATTTTTAAAGAACCACTCCGGAAATGAGTTGTAATGGTACTGATGCAATCATAATGCAAGCTGAGTACTTTCCTGTTTTCAAAACTTCTGCAACCCAAATAAACAATATCTATTTGCGACACTAATGCATTCTTATTAAGGGGAAAAGATGGACTAAAAGACAATTAGAAAGAAAAAGTAACTGTAAGGGAATTTTTTTTAAATTGCATTTTAGGTTTTGGGGTACATGTGAAGAACATGCAAGATTGTTGCATAGGTACACACATGGCAGTGTGGTTTTCTGCCTTCCATCCCCTTGCCTGTATCTGTCATTTCTCCCCATGCTATCTCTTCCCACCTCCCCACCCCCCCGTCCCTCCCCCATTTCCCCCCAACGGACCCCAGTGTGTAGTGCTCCCCTTCCTGTGTCCATGTGTTCTCACTGCTCAACACCCGCCTATGAGTGAGAATATGTGGTGTTTGATTTTCTGCTCTTGTGTCAGTTTGCTGAGAATGATGGTTTCCAGATTTCATCCATGTCCCTACAAAGGACGTGAACTCATCGTTTTTGATGGCTGTGTAATATTCCATGGTGTATATGTACCACATTTTCCCTATCCAGTCTATCGACGTTGGGCATTTGGGTTGGTTCCAGGTCTTTGCTATTGTAAACAGTGCTGCTATGAACATTCGTGTGCATGTGTCCTTATAGTAGAATGATTTATAATCCTTTGGATATATACCCAGTAATGAGATTGCTGGGTCAAATGGGATTTCTATTTTTAGGTCCTTGAGGAATCGCCACACTGTCTTCCACAATGATTGAATTAATTTACATTCTGTAAGGGAATGTTTATTAGTAAACTTGATTATGATGTTTAGCAAGAAAGCTTTCTCTCTGTCTCATATATATATATATATATATATATATATATATATATGAGCACATATACGTTTATTTGTTGACTAAATAAAATAATTTAGAAAAAACCTTGGCATCTAAGGTCAAACCCTTAGTTCTACTGCAGAATGTTTAAACTTTAACTGTGTTGTTTTTTTTTTTTCATGGAACTTCTTTTTTTTTTTTTTTTTTTTTTTTTGAGACAGAGTCTCACTCCGTCACCAGGCGCCAGGCTGGAGTGCAGTGGCGTGACCTCAGCTCACTGCAACCTCTGCCTCCGAGTTCAAGCAATTCTCCTGCCTCAGCCTCCCGAGTAGCTGGAGTAGCTGGGACTACAGGCGCATGCCACTAGGCGCAACTAATTGTTTTGTATTTTTAGTAGAGACGGGGTTTCACCATGTTGGCCAGGATGGTTTCGGTCTCTTGACCTCGTGATCTGCCTGCCTTGGCCTCCCAAAGTGCTGGGATTACAGGTGTAAGCCACTGTGCCCAGCCTTTATGGAACTTCTTAAAAAAATAAACCATGTTTTTTTCTTTCCCATGTAGTAAGCACAATTTAGTAATTTTATTTCATAATTTGAAAATTATTAGTGTGAACATCAGCTCAAGTGGTTGAGATGTAACATGAGTGACAAGCACACAAGTGATTTTATTATTAGACACTGTGCAACAAATGATAGCCCCAGAGCTTGCTTTCGTAAGTCTCTAATGCCTGTTTGCATTTTGGTGACACTTTTTTTTTTTTTTTGTCAGAATTGTGGTGTAAAGTTTAACAAACCGGGCAGTGGAATACAGTTACATTTTTACAAAATTCATAAGTGAATCCAAGGCTACAGCAACCACTTTTCAGGCTACCTTTCAGAAATAAGTAGTATTTTCCGGAAAGAGAATGTCTTCATTTTAATTAATAATATCACTTGAGTTTTCACTGAAATAATCAGCTTTTCCTAAGAAAAATATAATTCTTCTGAAACATAATTAATTCTAGGCATAATGATATCTATTCCTCTAGATTCTAGAATCTTAACTGTAATTACTATGATTCTTGAATCTTTCTTGAATAACATCTGAATGGAAAACTTGTGAATTTATGAGCACAAGAGAAAGTTTGAGAACTGCATTCATATGAGAAAATGAATGATAAACTTCATCCTACAATCTTCCTCTGACTTGAAGATATCCTTCACTGAGCTAAAATTCTATAATCATATGTATCTGGAAAGGAATTACAATATGGCCTTGAAAGTCCTTCCTTCTTTGCCCTTAATTAAGTATGTTTACCTGTCCAGAGAAGCATGATTTTTTTCACTTGAAGAGATTATTTACCATAAATAGTAAGCATCTGTATATATATATATATATATATATATATATATAATTACTACATAAGTTTAGTGACATTGCTATATGTGAATTCAATCACTCCTCAATGGAGGGCATTGCAAAGCAAAACAAAACAAAACAAAATGAAAGAGTACAGGAAATGGTCTTATTTCATACTATATGTCTTGCTTTAATCAGCAAATTGATTACTTCTTTATGTCTGTGAGGTAGGAGGTAAAACACAACTCTAGAGGCAGGGCTTGGACATCAGACCGAATTAAGGACTAGCTAAAATATGTCCTGGGCAGAAGTACCACCCTATAAGACATGCCCACTGGTGTGCCATGTCAGTTTACCATTGCCTTGGAAACACCCAGACATTATCACCCCTTTCCATGGCAACAACTCGACAACCCAGAAGTTACCACCTTCATTCTAGAAATTCTGCATAAACCACCCCTAATTTGCATACAACTAAAATTATGCATAAATATGGGTATAAAACTGCCTCTGAGCTGCTACTCTGGGCACACTGCCTATAGGACAGTCCTGCTCCACAAGGAGCAATACCTCTGCTGCTGCTGTACACTGCTGCTTCAACAAAAGTTGCTGCTTAACACCACCAGGTTGCTTTGATTCTTTCCTGGATTAAATCACGAACCCTCCTGGGCTAAGCCTCAATTTTGGGGCTAGCCTGTCCTGCATCATCTGTTTTAATCCACAAGATGATTACTTCTTTTTTAAAAAAATTATGCTTTACATCCTGGGATAAATGTACAGAACGTGCAGGTTGTAACATAGGTATACATGTGCCATGATGGTTTGCTGCACCCATCAACCTGTCATCTACATTACGTATTTCTCCTAATGTTATCCCTCCCATTGCCCCCTGCCCTGCAATGGCCCCAGTGTGTGATGTTCCCCTCCCTGTGCCCATGTGTTCTCATTGTTCAACTCCCACTTATGAGTAAGAACATGCAGTGTTTGGTTTTCTGTTCCTGTGTCAGTTTGCTGAGAATGATGGTTTCCAGCTTCATCCATGTCCCTGCAAAGAACATGAACTCATTCTTTTTTATGGCTAGATAGTATTCCATGGTGTATATGTGGCACATTTTCATTATCCACTCTATCATTGATGGGCATTTGGGTTGGTTCTAAGTTTTTGCTACTGTGAATGGTGCTGCAATAAATATATGTGTCCATGTGTCTTTACAGTAGAATGATTTATAATCCTTTGGGTATATACCCAGTAATGGGATTGCTGGGTCAAATGGTATATCTGGTTCTAGATCTTTGAGGAATTGCCACACTGTCTTCCACAATGGTTGAACTAATTTACACTCCCACCAACAGTGTAAAACCGGTCCTATTTCTCCACATCCTCTCCATCATCTGTTGTTTCCTGACTTTTTAATATCGCTATTCTGACCAGCATGAGATGGTATCTCATTGTGGTTTTGATTTGCATTTTTCTAATGACCAGTGATGATGAGCTTCTTTTCATGTTTGTTGGCTGCATAAATGTCTTCTTTTGAAAAGTATCTGTTCATATCCTTCACCCACTTTTTGATTGGGTTGTTTGTTTTTTGCTTGTAATTTTGTTTAAGTTCCTTGTAGATTCTGGATATTAGCCCTTTGAGAGATGGATAGAATGCAAAAATTTTATCCTATTCTCTAGGTTGCCTGCTCACTCTCTTTACATCAGGACTGCCTAAATGTGATTTGAGTGGGCCTTTCTGAAAGCTTGCAAATTCTTGATTATGATTAGTAGAAGAGGAGATTATTTCTACAGTTGTGACTCTGGGCAGCATATCTCTGCTTCCTTAATAGTCAATTGGTAATGGAACCAAATGGACAAATGCACTGAAATGTTGTAATGAGAGTAAATGCTTATGTGAGAGCTCAATTTTTCATGAAATCTCTGCTGAATATTATATTTATATTGTGAATAAGCTGGTCATTAGCAGAAAGATGGAAAAAAATGATAATACAAACTGAAGTTCATGAGAGGAGGCTATATGTTAGAATATGGTGCCTGAAATAAGAATCCTGGGCTTAACTCCAGACTCCATTTACTATTTGTTCTTGAGCAACTAACTATACATCTCTGGATATCTGTGTTCTCATGTGCAAAATGGGGCTAATAGCAGTAACTATCTCATTGGATTGTTGTGAAGATCCAAAGAATTAATAATGCATGTATTTAAAATAAGTGTCTGGTACACAACTTGGGCTTACTAAATGTAATAATGGCCATTTTGATTCAGTACCAGAAAACTCTTTTTTACCTATTGTGTCTTGATATAG